AGTGGTCTGAGCGTCGAATGGATGAAGGACAATAAAGGTAATCTTCAGAAAGCAGAAGAAAGTAAGCAATGGAATGTGTCTGTCCAGCAGCAGGCATCTACCCTATGAAAAAATTCTATGCATTACTACTTAGCCTTTTAGCACCTCAAGAATAAATATGCATCGGTTGAGTGACCTTATTCACTATAGATTGTATGCCTTTGTTATACACAGCTGCTGCTAACATCGCTTTCTGAAACACTCTAAAGCTGATAGTGAGATAATGATCAAATGGAATCTTTTAGGTTCAGCCAAAGTGGACAGTGAGGAAATGATTTCTAGCGAATGCGGCTGTAGAGAGAGAGAGAGAGAGATAAGGATAGAACAGAAAGAAGCAAAGCACAAAAGAACACTACACAGTTGATAGAATCGAACACTTGAACTTTGAATTCAAATGCAAAGAATCTACTTTTTGGACTAAATTGTCCAGAAGTAAACTCTGAGGTGTTCTCATCCCCATCCTGTGCATTGCTATAGTGTGTTCTACTCCCGCTGCTCAACCCATACAGCTTATATCTTTGATCAGCGACCAAAGCCTGCATACTCAGCGTTTCCCTGTCGCCTGATTTTAGTGTATAGAATCGAAATGCTTTGCTCTTATTAGAACCAAGGACACTTTTATCACTATATGTAGTGAGAAGTAACACAGAAGAATACTGCTGTTTTATGAGAAATCATACGTAGACAGGTGTTTCTCCAAAGAGTAATAGATACACAACATGCCAAACCTAGATGAAAATATGGTTTTCCATAAGTTAAAGCAAGAAATTATTCTAGCTCATTCGATACACAAACAGGAGCGAAAGCTAGAATAAACCATTACTTAACTCTAGAGGAAATATAAACCACTAGTGCAAAAGTGCCACTTTCTTTTACAGTGCAAGCAAAGACAACTAGCATTGATAAAACAATTGTGATTAATCATTATCTTATCTTTTCAGGTATCCAATTCGGAAAAATCGAACCATTCAATTCTCCTATGCAAAACTATTCCAACGCCAGAAGCCATCGAAACGTTTACAAAATCGATCATCTCCACGGCAAACACGGCATAATCAAAATGTGCCACAACTAGTTATGATCGCCGAAATAGTGCAAGATCTTATATCAAGAAATTTAGCCGATTACAAAAATAGTGGTCTTATTTGTTACGATCGTGAAACAATCGACAAACAATTATTTGAATATTTGAAGAGGTATTACAAAGTACGTATATATCTCATAAATTTTATTTTCTAAGTTAGATGGACAGGAAACAACATGATCCCCGCAAAACTAACTACAGCATGACGAGAATGCCAGATGATCGATAAAAACTCCAAAAACTGATTGCACCATGTTCTCGAAGAAACGACCGAGTAAAACATGATGTAAACACGTTTAAAAAGTCCTAAAAATAAAACCAGGGTGTCGAATGATCTAAAAGTAACTCTGTTTAGGTCGAGAAATGCAAAAACAAAAGAAGTGGCAGAAAGATTTATTACACGTTAAACGTAAAAGCTTCCATAGAGCCATCTGTGCACAACATGATCGCAATAAAAAATTTCTCTCCATCTAGTACTTCGAGCAATGATAGCGAATCAAAGAACCTTCTCCAAGTCTAACTTAGACAAGGCAAATACATATCTTAGAGAAGGTACTTTGATATATTAAACTGCAGTGGGAAGGATTCTCTTTCAATCTACTCCACTGCGCTGTAATGTAAACTAAAAATTTTATATTAGAAACATAATAACTGACATTGGAAAGACCGACTAACATGATGCATCGCAATAGTATCTGTAATAGAGATATGCAGAGTAGCAACTTTTTGAGCCGCGATTCTACCCTGTGAAAAAAACTTTTCCGATTTTTTTCATTTGTCTTGTCTTATGCGAAACAATAAAATTCGCTTGTAAAACCAAATATCGACATATAATCCTCTGTTGAAACTGAAAAACTAAAAATCATCCATGATTCTCAAGTTTACTTTATCAGCCAGCTTAAAGCGACGTGTGTCAGCTAATGCCTTAATCTTATTTTTGTTAATCTTATTTTTTGATTAAAAATTATATTTGAAAAAATAATAATTAATTTTCCCTAAAAAATAATTTTTTAAAATCCTCGGAATATCGCTCACTGATACATTTCATCTTACTGCATATTTTCAGGTCAACAAATGGCTAAGAATGTTCATTTTTACACGAGAATAGGTGACAAAAAGACGTTTTTGTGAAGGTTATCCGAAAGGCAAGAACTTCCTAGTATGTCGAGCTTCGTAATGCTGCATCGAATGAATTTTGAATGACAGCTTAAGACATTCACGTTAAATTAGAAAATGAGTAATTTTTGACAAAATTCCATTAAAATGTATGTATCTCCCGAGAACACGTTTCCGCCTCCTGATTTGAATAGAGTTCCAAGTTCTGAGTATATAAGTATTCGATAGAGCTCGATGAGCTGATCAAGAATATCTGCATTTTAGTCTTAAAAAATTGTTTTTTGAAGACAAAATCTTCAAAATACTAAAATGATCTTAAATTTCGAAAAAAAATAATTAAAGTTTTTTTCTTTTTCGTTCTTCTAACTTTTCGGAGATGTTTATTCGGTATGAAAAACTTGAGTATGAGAAGTATCAAAAACTGAGTATGAGAATGAAAACTGAGTCGAATGATATATAATTCGAAATTTTTCGTTGATTTTAATTTTTTGGTGAAAATCTCAGTAATCTTTCAACGTGAAAATTCGGAAAAAACAAAGGTTGTCTGATAGAAAAAAAAGGTTGGCATCATCTCTTCACAAAAAAACCTAGATAGGTTTGCAAAATTGTTTAGGAACTTTTTACAGGCGGAGACGTCCATACTAGATAGACATAAGGAGAGAGTCAGGAAAGCGTTAGTAATGATTGTATTAGTTATATGAAACAATTGTGATTAATCATTATCTTATCTTTTCAGGCCAATGTATCCAGTGCTTTCAAGCTCGATCAAGCATCATTCTCATACTCAGTTTTTAATGCTGAATCCAAAAAAATACTTCCGAAAAGTTAGACGAACGAAAAAGAAAAAAAATTTAAATTGTTTCTGTTTTCGATTATTTTTCGGTTTTTTGAAATTTAAGACCATTCTGCTAGTATTTTGAAGATTATTCCTTCAAAAAACAATTTTTTAAGGCTAAAATACAGATATTCTTGATCAGCTCGTCGAGTTCTATCGCATGATGGATGAATATGGCAAAAATCAAACCTTGTACGAATTTCGAATTAACGGCGCCTTCTAAATTTTCAGCATATCTTTTGGTGGCCACTTTATGCCGAGATCTGGATATTTGAAACATTCAGTAAATTTTCTATAAAACAAATATGTGGTGGTGCGTGCGTACTGCAGTTTCAACCAACGTAGTTTTTCATTTTAGTTAAAACGTAAACATCAACGGTGTAGTAGATTGTTGGATAAATTACAATTAGATGCCGAAAATTACGTGGCAATCAATAAACTACAAGAAGCACATGATATAAAGTTTGGTGTGACAATGCGAAAGGGCAAAGCATACATCACAAAATTAAAAACTGGAAAATATCGTCGTGATCGCTATTCATTGTACATATCATTTGTTATACACGAGACGATGGTTAATAGCTAGAATGCTTTTCTGTTTATTCTTCTAATGTTTCTTTATGATGTATTGTTACAGAAAGTAAACTAAACAGTATCACTTCGATAGCTAGTCAAGAGAACATCCTACAAATTGATAAAGCTTTTGAAACGGTGTCATATTGTGTCCCAAGAAAAGCGGCTTTTTTCATTTCAGCACTTTTTCTAAAGTGCTGCTATTGTGGAGCTTTTGACTACGTTATGACAGCTAAATCCTTCGGCAACCCTTTAAGGAAAAAGTACTTTAGTTTTTATTCAAGGTGTAAAAAGTTTTTGGATGCCATATAGGTGTTCGGATGACAGTCGTTTTACTGTAAGCCATTTTCGACGGTATCCAACTTTGAACTCTCTGTAAGATAAACGGATTGAATACTTTTTCTGATTGCTTTCTTCTATCGTGAAGCACATCTAGAACTGGAAGAAATATCGTGCGCAATTTTTGTTAGTTTTCTTCACGATTTTCCAGGTATAAAAGCTTAAGAAGTGTTGACTTAGAGTTTTTGAGCGTTTCCTTGTCCAAATTTTGGTTTCCGAGATAGCAAATTAGTCATCTTCTTCCTATTTCTCACTTCTAGCCGCGGTACAGAAAAACAGAGATGTTTCTGATTTTGAATTGTGAAAGTTTAACGCTTAAAGTTCCCGCTAATCAATCTGACTATATTTAATCGATGATATTCCTGACGAAAATTCTTTTGAATTTTCTCGAAACGAAAACATCAAAAAGCACAACTTTTAGCTTGGAGAAACCTCTCTCTGAAGAGCTTTGTTTCAAACACCGATTTCATCATGTTTTATCCGGTTTTCTCTTCAGAAATATGATGTAATCAAGGTGAACTATTCACAGTAAAAAGTTGAGCTCAGAATTATCACACAGCAATTTCATTTCTGCATTTCCTAGATCATCCTAACTGCTGGTTACACAAACTATTTTACGTTTTTTTGAACTTTATGAACGTTCGTATTGCTTTTATCGAGAAAATTTCCTCCTAATTATTCTAACTTGTTACCGTGTCTATTTCTCAATTCAACACGTGATTAAAACTTCATCACAAATTGCATTTTAACTTTAAGATCTTTGCAAAGTCAGCATGTTTAATAGTCTTTATATAAAGAAAAACTTTTAGGACTCGCCGCATTTCCATTTATACACGACGTTAAAACAGTAAGGGCTGTTTTGTTTATAACAATCATTGTGGTCGTTTTCATGTTTCGTTTAAATGAAATATGAAGAGATCTTTATAGAACATGTCTTGTGAATGCGAGAAATAACTAAGGAAAAGATAAAGAAACATGTATGTATACACTGGGCTTTATGCAAATAAGACGTATATATAGAATTCTTTTTTTTCCTCGTTTTACATACTTATCTCGATACATGTCACTAAAACTGTTATCTGCGTAGAGCAACGATCGACTAGTATATATCACAGCAGATAGAAATGGAAAAGATATTATTTTCTTATGGAGTTCAGAATACTGTTCGATCTCCGTTACTCATATGACAAGACATCTGTTGTGAATCTTATATGAAACTTATATAAAATACTAATCTATAATACCTAATTAAAACGAATTAGTTATAACACTTGACGCTGCTAGTAACAAATAGCAAATCCTTTCGTCACAAGCAGACGAAAACCAAAGAAAAGCATCGAACTCTTAAGAGTTTTCTTTAATTACGCGTTTTCAGTTTATTTTTCGGGCTTGTCAAGTCATCTTGTGAAAATGAGCGTCTCTTCACTTTTGAGAAAAAACATTACCTCTGGTCATAAATTCATAACTCCACTTATAATAAGCACATGAATTTTCTGAGAAATAAACCTGACTTATTTGATGTCATGTAGATACTTGAGTTTCAGGATAAAAAAGAATTTGCTCTGAACTGGTTTTAGTTGTCTATATAGACATTTGATCTTAGCAGAGCTTGAGGCCGAACGCTAACTGTCTGTTCTTGGTTTTTTAAAGAACTGCAGTTATCCAGTTACTATGCGATCTTCTACTCAACTTTTCTACGGGAACATGATCCAAAGGTGGAATGTTTCAACGGCGTGCCAGATAAGTGGGAGTCCTCTCGTCCTGTTTTTTAAAATTTTCATTTTTCACCACTAAGGCGCTACTTTAAATTGAAAAAAGTTTATACAGCAAAATGATTTGTTTTTGGAAAAGAATTCTAAACGTTTTTAACAAGAAGGTATCAAAAATGTTACCCTTCTGCTTCAAAGATCGAACTACGCCTCTGAAATGTTCAACCCAGCGTGATTGACAGTCCGTACTCAAATTGTGGCTCTCTAATTCCAGTCAAAGTTCATATACTTCGACGAGTTCGTGAAAAAACCTGGAGTTTTCAATTTTCTTGTTTTTATT